GATTTTTTGGGGGGCTGTCTTTTTATTTTTCTCTATTTGTTGAATAGAATAGCATTTTTGCTTGCTTTTCTCCCATTTGCTTTTCTTGAATTTCTTATTACTTTTTCAATTAGCAAAAATCTATCTTCACTTGCTTTCATTTCTCCCTCTCCCAATGAAAGGAAAAAAAGAAAAAAGAAAAAAAATCTTGTAATAAATATACAAAATCAAGTAAAACAAATTCCCACATTGACTGTGTCCAAAAATACATGTCTCGTTCTGCATCCTGAGTCATCCATAACTTCTTTGTAAGGAGATGTATAGTATTCTATAGCACTAGTTGTCTGTAATTGTGGTTGATCATATTGATCAGAATTAGGTCTTTCAAAATTGTTTGTCTTTACAAATGTTTTTTATTGTGTAAATTCTCATCCTGGTTCTGCTCACTTCACATCAGTTCATACAACTCATTTGGGAGAAATCTTGGAAAAAATTGAGGACGGAAAGATCATTCAAAGCCCATGAATTTTTTTTAATGGTTTTTTTTTAAGGCAAGAGGCAACTTAAATAAGAACTTTTTTGATGTGAGAGGGGATCTAATATTCCTTGGTTTTACCATTGAAAACTTGCTTTTCTATTAGAATATTTAAGCCCTTTGTTTCAGATACATGTTTTCTGTTAGGGCAAAAATGGAGAAAAGACAGGAAAAACAGTGGGCTGGGAATAATTGCCTTGTGTTTTTTCTACAGTGAGTGTTGATGGGATAGTAATCATCTCCTCTGAATCTGGGTGCATTCTGAATGATTCCACTTACTAGTTGGGTGACCTTGTGCAAATTAACTTACCCATTTAGAGCCTCAGTTTTCTCATCTGTAAAAAGGGGGTGCCAGACTTTCTCTGTTTATTTCACATGGTTATTATGAGGATCAAATAAGACAATGTATTCAAAAGAGGCAGCTAGGTGGTGCAGTAGATAAAGCATTGGGTTTAGAATCAGGAAAACTCATCTTCCTCAGTTCAAATCTGGTCTCAGACACTTATTAGCTGTGTGACTCTGGGCAAGTCATTTAATCCTGTTTATCTCAGTTTCTTCATCTGTAAAATGAAGCTGAAGAAGGAAATGGCATACCACTTCAGTATCTTTGCCAATAAAACCCCAGATGGGGTCATGAAGAATCAGGTACAACTGAACAACAAAAAAATTTAAAGTGTTTTTTAAACTATAAAGCTTTATAAAGATGTTGATTGACAGAGGCGTAAAAAGTCAAGAATTTACATATAACTTCTGCCACTTAGTCCTTGGATAAGTTGGAAGTAATTGACCACACTAATTGGAGGTGTTGTTCCTGCATTTGTAGAAGAAGTAACCTCTGGCAAAGTGTCAGTCAGAAAGACTGAGTACAGAGCATTGTGGCAGATAGTAGAAAGATGGAAGGGACTTAATAAGATGGACAAATAATGAAAATATTTTAAAAGTCTTCAAATAATACCTAACCAAGGAGATGTACTCAAGGCCATCCTTTGCTATAAAATTCCCTATAGTTTATTCTTCTCCCAATTTACCTATTTCTGCTAGTGTCATCCCCACTCATCATTACTAGGCATCTAGGGTTGAAATCTTATAATCTTCTCAGGTTCTTCCCTTTGCCTCCCCCTCCCCCTTTTTCAATCCTGTTATTTCTTCTTTCAGAATATTCCTTAAAACCCTTCCATTCTCACCACTAACAGAACTACCACCCTAGTTTAAGCTATCTTGTTTGGATTATTGTAATAGCTACTAACTTGATAGCAATAAGTCTCCATTCTGTCCCTTCTTGTATTCATTCCTCCCCTGGTTGCCTAGGTAATATAATGCCTAGGGCTGGCCATGTCACTCATCTTCTCAAGAAGCTTCAATGGCTACCCATTCCTTGTATAGGATAAAATATAAACTTTTCAACCTGGCTTATAACACCTTCCTTGATCTAATTCTAGCTTATGTTTCTAGCCTTAATTCATTTTCATCCCCTCTATGCTCTCTCTGTTCCAGCTAAACTGGAGTACTAACTATTCCCAGATCTCATAATGCAACTCCAATCTCCTTAAATTTGTTGAGGCCAGACCACAGGCCTGAAGCAGGTTTATGCCCCATTCCCAGTTGTTGAAATCCTCTTCTTGCAAGGTGAAGTTCAGGTTACCTCCTCCATGAAGCCTTCTTTCATTCTCCGGCTGAAAGAATTCTATCCTTTTTCAAACCACCTAAGAGTTCTTTGTATTTCTCCTTTGAATTTATCATGCACTAATTTGTAATATTATTGGTGTACATTTACATCTTCTCTATTAGAATATAAGTTCCTTGAAGGCAAGGACTGGCTTGTTTTGCAACTGCATATCCTCAATAATTAGTACAGTGCCTTGCACAAAGTCAAGTGCTTAATAGATATTTATTGAACTGAATTGAATCCCTAAGACAGAAAATTAGGTTGTATCCTGTGGAAAGCCCCATTAGATCCCAACATTTTTCTACAAGAAATTGGGGGAACAGGGAAAAATTCAGGACTTGATGGCCTTACCCTTGGAAAGCCACTGGCCATATCAAATCCCTCAACACACTTCTCTCCTTACCAAAGAACTTTTAAACTGAACAGGGGCATTGATCTAATTTTTCTCTAAAGTTTGAAAGTTGCCAAAAGGCAGATGACATAGACAAAGCAAAGTGATGCTTTTGTAATTCAAAAGTGGTGGAATATTCTTTTCCTCTAGAAAGGTTTTCAGTGAATGGCTGTGAGTCTGTGAGTTATATATCTGGAAGGGAAGGGAGAAAGAAACTGGTTATTGCCAGGCTCTCCTCAACCTCAGTCTCCAGAATCTGCTCTCTGCCTTTTAACACCCCATTATCCCCTGCCAGGGAGTTTTCTCTCCCCTCCTTGGTAAAGATCATAGATCACAGACTTCTCTGTAGTTTGCATTCTCATTTAGCTAAATAGATTACAACATCCCTTACCCCAGCCAGCAACTTTGGGCAGTTTCCCCACCCCCTCTGCAAAAAAAAAAAAAGGTCCAAACAATTTTCCTTTGTTTGCTGTTACCACGACACCCTATGAGTATCACGTTAGTAACCTGTCCATAGAAAAGTTGCCCCTTACCGAGCTATTTGTATGTATCTCCATGGGGGACTTTTTTTTCCCCCTTCTCGATTTCTCCCCCCTTTAAACCACTGGTTGCAGGAGGATGAGTGAAAGAACTGGAAGTAAAGAGAGATAGTTGGTCTTTTCATCATTATTTAATATAAAGAAGCAAAGAAGATTCTGTGCGCAGATTGCTGGCATATACAATACATTCCTCACTTAGTCTTCCTTTTACACAGTTTGCGTAAGGTATGCATCCGTATGTGTTTTATGTACACTCACTGCCTTTCATAGAGCTCTGGCTGACTTGAAAACAGGTGTGTCTTTCCCCTTCATTCTACTGCGTTCGCCCCCACCTTTGCAGGGATAGATGTGTTACTCTCCATTTTTTTCAGGTGGAACAACTCCGATTCAGATAAAGAAAGCAAAGAAGCATCCTTCTCAAGCCACCTCAACCCAGGGCTCCTGGCTTCCAGACTGGCTGCTGGGTGTGGGGTTGGGGGGAGGGGGGTGGGGTGTGCACAAGGACAGTGGCCAAACAAGACCGGCGTGGCTGTTCCAGGGCCCCAAACGGAGGAGTGAGATGAAAAGGAATTGTCAGTTCTTTGTTTCTCCGGTCTGAAACCAGACTTCCTCCGAGCTTGGTCTGGGAGCTAGGGCTGCGGGGTGGCGTGTCCCCTCCCTGCTTGCCTCTTTGCCTCCCTCCCCCACTCGTTGCCGCTGAGTATGTGTATGTATATGTCTCATGGAAAAAACCCAGGATGAGACTACATCCTCTCTGGCACACATACATATACATATATATATATATATATATGTATGTGTGCAATACACATATGTATTTATACGCAAGTATCTGCATGCAGGCATTCATGCAGGCATGGATATATGCATGGATATCTAGCCAATACATTTGAGTGAGACCCTCCGCGAACAGCAGGGACTCAAACCGACCCCTTCGGAAATCACACAACTTCAAGTCCCTCTCCCACAGATTATTTTCTACTCGGCTCAGGGCTCATAGCCAGGGTCGCTCTCCCGAAATAGAATGGAGCAGCTCCGGGTTTGGGAGGCTGGCGGGCCGGGGAAGGCGCGGGTTGGAAGAGACTCGGGCCTAAAGAAGGCTTCCAAAAAGAGGGCTCCTCTCAGAGACTGCCTAGACTCAGTCTAGTGCCCAAACCTTGGGCGCGGAATGTGGGTGGGCAGCAATAGGCTTGGCGAAGGCGCCGGTGCAGATGCCGGCTACCGGGGCGGGGGGGGGGGGAAGTGGGGGAAGAGGGGGGGCGTAGCTTCAATGAATGGATGCTGAGTTGGGAGCGAGAAGGGGGTAGAAGTGGGAGGGCTCTTCTTTTAAAGCACGGCTCATTTGCATTGAAATGCATGTCCATATGTACCAAAGGACAAGAATTCCACTCACGTACAGTCTTCGCACTCCCCCCTCCCCATTCCACCCCTTTTCTCCTTCTTACGTTCAGAGATCTCCCACCCCCTCTCCAGGAACCAAAGGGGACAGCTTACTTTGGATGGAGGGAGGAATGGAGCTGATTTGATTTGTGATAGGGGGACTTACACCCGCAGAATCAGCCAGCGATGTGCAGGGAGGAGGAATCAATGTGTGCCTGAGTGTGTGTGTGTGTGTGTGTGTGTGTGTGTGTGTGTGTATGTGAGTGTGTGCGCGGGAAGGGGTGGGGGGGAACAGGGAGGGAGGGAAAGGGGGAGCTGCAGCAAACCAGGGCCCTTCTGAGGAGCGGAGCGGAGCCGCAGGCACTAGCTCGCAGCTACGAAACCATTCATGATTTTGGTGACGTTATTCCAGTTGTGGGGGGAGGGAAGGCGGGGCTTCTGGGGCCCAAGGCCCGCCCCCCCCACTCCTATAAATAGGGCTTCCCAGGCTCTTTGTGGGGCTGAGAGCTCATTGGGAAGAGAATCCGCACGTCTGCTTGCTAGCCTTTCCTCCGGGTGGTAGTTGAGAGCGGTGGGAGCCAGTGCGCCTGAGATCTTGCCCTGCGGAGGGGGTGTCCCGGGACGGTGAATCCCTCCATTGCCCCTAAAAGCTCGAGAAAGCTGCTGGGCCCTGGGACACTGCAGTGCCCTCTTTCCTTTGGCCCGGGGACCGTTTTTTTAAATATCCAAGGGCGTGGGTCAGTCTCCCTTAGGACTTCATGTCTGTATATTTCCCCATACACTGGTGAGTATTCATTCTTTACCCTTGGCGTCTGTCGTACAGTGGGGTCTTGCCAGAGGCTCCCGTCATCTCCTCCCTGGTTCCATCCCTTTAGGGTACCGTGACTACTGACTACTGTGACTTAATGAGGAGGGGCAGCTCTCCTTTCCAGGCGATCATTCGGCTAAAAGCCGAAATCGCACCTAAGGGGGGCAGGGGCTTAAGCGCCCTGGAAGGAATTGGGAGAACCCAGACAAAGACAGTGAACTTGGAGGCTTTGCATAAGTGCATGATGGCTGGGGGTGCCAAGGGGAGAGTGTGTAGCCACCGTGGCCGACATCCTCCCTACTCCGCCCTGTGCTCCAAATGCCCCCTCCTCAAATGAGGATTGATATTAGAGTCTCGTGGGTGCTGCTTGATTTAGGGAACGGAGACACTGTCTTCTTTCCCCTTCTTCCTCTCTCTTCTTTCTTCCTCTCCCTATGTCTCTCTTCTACCCCCCCCCCCCATTTTTCTTTGGTTTGCATGCAAGTCTTGATGTAGAGTGCTGGAGATGGGCTTGAGAGGGTGCTGTGACGGCTACTGTGGCACTGGGTGTTGGAAGACAAGAGAGCCCCCTATGGACGGCCTGCAAGGGGGCGGGGTGGTGGTAGTGATAGTGGTGGTACAATATGTGTGTGCGCGCCTTCTTCCCGCACTCCTGGCGAGGAACGCTGCATCCTTTTGACCCCATCTCTTCCCTTCTCCCGCTTTCAAAGAGAAGTGCCTTTGAAAACCACTCGACTTGACTGGGGAGGGGGAAAGCAACTGATCAAGCCCCAGCTGCAAGAAAGGGGAGCCGGGGGAATACAAACCAGCAACCTGAGTTGGATTCAAGGGTTAGGGAGATGCCGGGGGAAGTGGACGGAGGGGAGGGGTTCTACTGATAAGGGCGTGTTTGGAGGTTCTTAGGGGCTGTACTGATAGGTGTGTGTTGAAATCCCTAGGGGCTGTGGGGCTGGATTGTTGGGAGTCTGTTGAGATGCCCAGGGGCAGGGGGCTAGACTGATGGGGGAGCGTGTGAAGATCCCTGAAGGTCTGGGGCTTCACCAGTGGAGGGACTGTGGAGATTGCGAGGGGAGGAGGAGGAGCCGTGTGGTTTGCAGAGCCGGGCCTCAGAGTCGACCTCCTGCAGGGGCTCCGAGCTTGTTTCCTTCCTGCTGGAGGGGAAGGATTCGAGCAAACACTTAGCATCTCCCCTGGGTTGGGGAGGGGTGCCTAGGAGAGTGAGGTTGGTGCCTGCAAAACCTGTTCCCACGTGTGAGAAATAGAAGCTTCTAGAGGAACCCTGGGCCCCAACCCAGGGTGTCTGTTTCCTGGCAAGGCAGACTTGCATGTACCGAGCTAGCAGGATGAAGGTGGCCGCTTGCAGCTAGCCTGAAGCTGCTAAGCTGAGATGGAGCCGGAAAGTTTGCAGCTTTTTCCTCTCCACTTTTCACAGCTGTAGCTCCAGATCCCAGCGAGGAGGACGGAAAGGCCCCAGCCACTGGGTTGCAAATCTGGGGCAGCTCCAGATCTTCTCCTCCCACCCCCACCCCCACCCACCGGGTTGAGGGTCAGCTTACTGGCAGGGGTCCCGGGGAAGGGCTTTGGACTTGGGGCAAGCACGGGGTCAGGATGGCTGAATGTTACCTGCTCCTCCCTGGTCCCCAGCCCAACTCTCTCTAAAGAGAGAATTGATGAACTTGATGCCCCTGGGGAAGCCAGTGTCCCTTTAAGCTGGGTGCGGCTGCTGGACTCAGGGGACGAATAACTGATGGGCTCCTCAGGCCCCCATCTCCTACCCCTCATCTCAAGCTTACCCAGCTGCCTTCACCGACTTCAACTAGTGAGCATCCAGGTAGGCTGTCAAGCCAGTGTTGACTAACCTACCTCATTTTCATTGGAGAGAAGTATTAATTTCTGGAAAAATATGCCTACACCTTAGTAGCTATGGGAAGAAAGAGACAGCTTTTGTTTGCTTTCAAGCTCTGCCTCCCATGTATTTAGTGTTATTTTGTGTGTGCATGTGTGAGATAGCGAAGATAAGAGAAGGTGCTGAGGCATGTATGGAAGGCATGCTTACCATGATGTGTGGGAATACACATTGTGTCCCAAAGTCCTATGCTCTTGACTACCCTGTGTGTACCAAGTGCACACTTGGGGTATTGAAATGCTTCTTTGGCTTCTTTGTCCTTTTGGAAATGCCTTGTGCAGACAGAGCCACTTAAGGCTCTGAGTGTACTTGGTGCCTTATTAGCACTGAGCTGGCCGTGGCTGTATTGGGGATTGGAAGAGGGGACATTGACCAAAGTGAAGTGGGAGGAGGTACAGACCCACCCAGGGTATAGCTAGGACATGCTTCAATTTAGAGTCACCAGGGCTTATGAAAGAATTCTGAAAGCCTCCATATCTGAAACTTGTCTCTACACATCTGAGAGGGAGGTATAGACAATCACTCTTTCTGATGGATCTTTTTATAAAATGATAGTTTTATACTTTTGTCATCATCCTCATCATTGTTAATAACAACGAAAACATCATAAGGAAGCAATTTAGTTGATATGGTTTAGAAAGAGATGAAATAACTCCTGGTGTCCTCAATTCCTAAGATATAAATGAACCAGACTGGGAGTAATGATATAGATAGTCCAATGGGGGAAAAATGAATTTGGAGTCAGAGGTCTCTGATTTGAGTCCTTTCCTCTGTTACTTACTACTTCTGTGACTTTCAGTAAATTATTTCCTCTCTCTGGCCTCACTTTCTTCATTGGTAAATGGGAGAGGTTGAACGAAATGACTTTTAAGATCTCTTCTATTTCTAAATCTTATGACCTGAGATTCTGCGATTGCTTGTAAAAATTCAATGCATTCAGGAAGGGGAAAAAAGGGAATTTGTCTTTAAATCTCTTCTATCAAACCCACCAGCGGGTTTAAGATCAGTAACCAATGGCCAAGAGATAGATCAGCTATTCAAGGGCTTAAACATTCCCCTTTACTCCCTCCATCTCCCCAAAAGTTTTGTGATCATCAGAACTCCAAAGTGGAGAGTGCTGCTGGATTTGTAGTCAAGACTTAGCACTTCCTGAATTGAGGTAAATTTAGTTAAGTCCCTTAACCTCTTTGAGCTTTTGTTCAGATGAAGAAGTTGGACTTGCAGGGTCCCTTTGATCTCTAAATCCTAAATCTAGAGCTAAAAGGGACTGTAGAAAGAAAGAAGAGTAAACAAGCCTTAAACCCTTACCATGCACTAGATACTGTCCTAAGCACTTTACAATTATTATGTCATTTGATCCTTGTAACAATACTGGGAAGTTGGTAGAATTATTATCATCATTTTACATTTGAGGAAACTGAGGCAGAGATTAAGTGACTTGCCCAGAGTCACACAGCTAGTGTCAGGGTCCAGGTTTTCTTGACTCCAGGCCCAGCAGTCTACCCACTGTGCCACCTACCTGCCTCTAGAAGATATCAAGTCCAACTCCCTCATTTGACATATGAGGAAACTGAGGCACAGAGAGGTGACTTGCTCAGGAACACACAGCTTGTAAATGTTTTCGTGATTTGAACTCATCTTCCTGACTCCTAGTCTACTGTCCTATCTCTGTCATGATGCCTTAATTCATGATCCTTTGACCTCTCATCCTATTTTCAGACAGCTTTTGTGATAGAACAGTATGGCCTGAAGAGTGGGAACAATCACTTTCACTTCATTTTGGATCTCTTATCTCTTGGCAGCCCTGATTATCTGAGATCAGCTGACATGACTGAGGTGATGATGAGCACCCCCTCTATGGATGAGATTGGGCTGAATACCCGGAAGGATGGCATCTCCTATCAGGTGAGTGAGTCTTAGGGCCATTTCACTTGGTGAGAGTTTTAGTAGCTGGTCGGTTGGACTGGAATGGATCACTCTTACTCCCCAATACTGTCCAATTTGTTGGATATATACCCAGTACTCAGGTGGAAAAGAGGGAAATGTGAGAGAGCGGCTCACGTGGGGAGCTCAATGCCTGGCCAATAATAACGGTTTTCCCTCTGCAAAAATGTGGTTTGTAAGGGAGAGGTACTATAAGTGAAACCTTTCAGGGGAAGTTTTGTGGATATGGTGTCCTTAAGGCAGCTTTGCTTCTCAAGAAAGAGCCAATTCCACTTCTTAGAATGCCCTATAGAAAAGTAGTATTCTTGGAGCCAGAAAGATCTGGGTTCAAATACTCCTTCTGCTACTTAGCAGATGTATGCATATGGGCCAGCCATTTAACATTTCTGCATCTGAGCCTCAGTTTACCCCTCTGGGGAAGATAATAGCATACATCATGTTGGTGATATGGGATTATTGTGAGGATCAAAAAAATTGGTGAATCACTTTAAAGCATTACATAAATGATAGAGAAGACTTCTCAGAACTACAGAGTAATCTATATGGTGAAATACCTTTTGATTATTTTTGGTACATAAAACTGGTGTTGGGTTTGATATCACTATTTTTTAAAATCTAAATAACAAAATATTTAAAAGACCCTTTAGCTTGGGGGCTTGCAGACTCTTGGAGAATCTTTCTTGTAAAGTAGCTCATGGGTAAGAGGATGAAGGTTATGTTTTGGATTGGGGCTAAGGATAAGGACTCTTCAATCCTCCTAAGTTATTCAATGTCAAATCTCTAAGTTGGAAAGGACTTAGGATCACCTATTTCCTCCTTTAATTGAGAAGGAGTACCATCTCTCACATCTTTCTGTGTGACCTTGGGCAAGTCACTTAACTCCAGACCTCTTTTCTCATCTGTTTAATGAGGAGTTGTACTAAGTGGCTTCTCAGGCCTGTTTCTAGCTGTAAACCAATGATCCCCCAGTTTTGGCTTATAGGCCACCAGCTGACCAAAGCAGCCCATTCTACTCTGAGACAGCTTTGATTTCCAAGGTGCCTTTTTCTCCCTCTCTAAGCTGAGGCAAAAATATCCTTCCTTGTATGCATTGGCCCTAGTTCTTCCCTCTGGGGCTTAACAGAACATGTCTAATCTCTCTCCCATGTCTTTCAAATACCTAAAGACAACTATCATTCCTCCTGCCCCAACATCTTCAGGTCATCTCTTCTGCAGGCTACACATAGTCATTCGTCATTACTGTTTCCAAAAGGCATTTTGCCAAGTGGAGAAAAGGAAACAAGGAGGAGAGAAATGAACAGTTCCTGTACCACAGTAAACCGAAGTTAGACAGAAACCATGACTGGAGGAGATGGGATGCAGACCATCCCAGCTGACTTCTCTCTTTCTGTCACTGGCACTCCCTTATCTTCATAGAATTTTAGGTCTAGAAGGAACCTTTAAGATCCTTGCTCCCAGTCAGTATCATCAATCCCACTTTGTAGTTTTTATTTAATTGGGGAGAGAGGGCTTTCTGGAGATGTGGTACTTTATCCGTGGTTGAGTTCTGTAACCCAGGGTTCCAGGATTCTGGGCAAGATCCTGGATGAGATCTGAACATGAGTTCCAGTCACTCTCTTAAGGGCAGCTAGGTGGTATAGTGGATAGAGTGCCAGGCCTGGAGTCAGGAAGACCTGACTTCAAATCGGACCTTACACACTTACTAACTGTGGGATCCTGGGCAAGTCATTTAACTGTGTTTACCTCAGTTTCCTCATTTGTAAAATATGCTGGAGAAGGAAATGGCAAACCACTCTAGTATCTTTGCCAACAAAACCCCAAAAGGGAGCACAAAGAGTGGGATGTTGCTGAAAATGACTGAATAACAACACTCTCTTAAGTTCTACCTCAGTTTTGGGTTGCAAATTTCTTAGCCAATGAGTCATACTGAACATTTCTTTGTGGTCACCAGTGAGGTTTTCTTTTAGCTCTGTTTTTTCTTAGACTGTGTCACAAGGTCTTTCAATGGAATTTGTGTAGGATTATTCAATTCAAAAAGTACTTATTAAGCAGCTTCTATGTATCTGTCCTCAAGAAGCTTATATTCCATTGGGGGAAAATGAACACATACATAGATAAACAAAATATATAAAAATAATTTGGGGGCAGGAGAAGAGTTCCTGAGGTCTGGTGGAACTGAGCAAAGCTTCTTATTGGAGATGACATGGACGCTGGGCCTTGAAGGGTGATAGAGATTCTAAGAGACTTAGGTGAGAACGGAGATCATGGTTGAGAAGATGTGCCAAGTGGATATGGAATAATTGTGTATGGAGGAACAGCAAGGAGACCAGATTAACTGGATCTGAGTTCATAAGAAGGAATAATGAGATATCAGTCTGGAGAGAGAGGCCTGTGCCAGATTGTGAAGGGGTTTAAATGCCAGTCAGTTAAGTTTGTATTTAATCCTAGAAGCAGTTAGGACTTATGGAAGCTTCTTGGGCAGGAGAAAAGTATAGTCAGACCTATGCTTGAGGAATATTAATTTGGAATTTGTGTAGAAGATGAACTGGAGGCAGAGAGATCAATTAGGAGGCTATTGTAATCATTCAGGAGACAGGTGGTGGGGGCCCAAACTAGCATGGTGGCCATGTGAGTGGAGAGAGAGAATTTTAGAATTGTAAAGATCATTTAATCCTACCACCTCATTTTGACAGTTGAGGAAAATGAGGCCCAGAGGGGAAATGACTTGCATAAAGTCTCTCAGTAGTAGAGTTTTGCCTCCTTTTTCATTTCTTCTTGTTGTTCAGTCCTGTCTGACTCTAGTCCGTGGCGTTTTCTCAGCAAAGATACTAGAGTAGTTTGTCATTTCCTTCTCCAGTATGTCCCCATTTTACAGATGAGGAACTGAAGCAAATAGGAGTTAAGTGACTTGCTTGGGGTCACTCAGCTTAGTAAGTGCCTGAGGCCAGATTTGAACTCAGATCTTCCTGACTACAGGCCTGGTACTCTACCCACTCTACCACCTAACTGCCTCTCTTTTTTCACTATCTTGCATTTTGATAGCCACAGACAGCTTCTAGCCCTCCTTTACCCAGTGCTTTCATGAGCAATTTCAAACACTGTTATCAGGTTTAAAATCTTGATCTTTGTGATTTTGGAAAGACCCCCTTAGCTGGCTGGTTGAGAGAAAGAGAGAAATGGAAAGTGACCCTACTGAGTTTCTGACCTGTTCCTGGCATTTCTTTCATATCCTCTACTGTGTTCTCAATGAAACACCGAGTGTTTTCATAACTGTTGTATGACCAATTTCCTCAAAACCTGCTCAAAGAATATGCCGGTTAATTAAAACTAATTTCCACCAGAGTTGTTGTGATTGGCCAAAAATGACACTTTGCTAAAGGCCTTATTTCATTTATATTCCTGATCTCTTTTCCAGAGAGTGGAGGATGGAGGGTTGGGGGGAGGTGGGGGTGAGTCTCACAGCTAGCTCTCCACTTGGCATTCCTCCTGAGGATAATAATAGTATGTGGGACTTGTCTTGTGCCTCTTTTCCGAGGAGCGAAAAGTGCTTGAGAGCCATGGCCATTCATCTGCAGTGTCCCATGAGCTTGCTGGAAGCCAGCCATTAATTTCTTTTTGACAGATGGAGAAATGGAGTCTTGGGACCATGGTACAACCTTGTTCGAAGGTCACATGTTAAGGACTAGAACCCATGCCTTCTGATTTCCAGAGCCCACCCCTACTCTGGATTTCTGGTCACCAGCTCCTGTTTCAGTGGCATACCTTAGCCTCTCAATGGAAAAGGTTCCAGGGATTTGCCTTTTACTGTCTTGTAGAATTTGGGTGAGAAATATTTACTGATCCACATCAGTTAATGAGGTTTTTCATTCAATTCAACAGGCATTTATTCAAGGCCTTTTAGATGGCAGGCACTGTTCTAGCTGCTGCAGATACAAAGACAAAAAAAAAATGAAGAAACAGCCCCTGTCCTCAAGCAGCTTCTATTCCACAGGGGTGGGGGCAAAATACAGATAAGTAAAACAAAATAAAGGCTCTCCCCAAAGTCTTAGTGCAGGTTTGAGCTATTAAAACTTAAAATTTCACTAAGATTTTTGGGACACCCTTTAGGGATAGGCTAATAGGAAAAAACTTCTCATAGGAAGAGGTAACTGAGCTTTATGGGGCAGCGAGTTGGCACTGGGATGGAGTGGATGGAGCACTGGGCTTGAAGTCAGAAAGACTCATCTTCCTGAGTTCAAATGTGTCCTCAGATACTCACTGGCTGTGTGACCCTGGGCAAATCAGTTAACCCTGTTTGACTCAGTTTCCTCATCTGTAAAACTAGCTAGAGAAAGAAATGGCAAACCTCTCCAATATCTCTGCCAAGAAGACCCCAGAATGGGGTCAGGAAGAGTCTGAAACAACTCAACAACAAAAACCTGAGGTTTTTTTTTTTTGCTCTGAAGGGATCTATGGGGGAAGTTGAGGAAGGAAAACATTCTAAGTGGGGTAGGTGTTAGGAGTGAGGGGTCAGTTATACCAGAGGTAGTTGGTGTTTTGTGGCTTTAAAAAAAATTAAGATCAAATGAAATTTTTCCTTTACATTGATTTGGTGTCAATCATTCCTCCTCCCTGGGGTGAGTGAGCAAGTTGTCAGTACTTCAATAAGAGCATCAGGACTTAATGGAATGAGTTAAAGGTCCAGAAAGTGTACCCTGACTGCCTAGATCCCTGTATCCTAGGTTTCCCTAAGGGGAAAACATGAAATACTACCAGTCCCTAGTGCCTTTATGGAATAACTTTCCATATTCTAGAAGCTCAGACAGTGTTCTTCCTTTTAAAAAAAAGTATTAAACATTTTTTTAAATTGAACAAAAATCAATTTTCTCTCCCTCCTATCTAGTTTTCTTTCTTTTCCTGAACCAGAGAGTCAGCACAATCACTGCTTCATGGATCCCTATTCAAGCTGTATTTGCAAAGTT